GAATAAAAAGAACAATACTGGAAGGATTACCATACCAACTCTCAAGGTATATTACAAAGCTATAGTAATAAAAAGGAGCATGGTATTGATACACACACACAAAATGATGTATAGACCAATGGAATAAAACTGAATATCCAAATGTAAATATGTATAATTGCTGTCATCTGATATTTAACAAACATGACCAAAACATATGCTGGAGAAAAGACATATTGTCTAAATAGTTCTGAAAAATTGACAACTGTATGTCCATATGCAGAAAAATAGGATCAGATTGGTATCTCTCACATAACACAAAATAACTCCAAATGGGTCAAAGACCACAAATGAAACCCAAAACATTGAAACCACTAGAAGAAAACATAGCCACTACCTTACAGATATTGGTGCAGACAAGGACTTTCTGAACACACCTCCATTTGCCCATGAATTAACTAAAGCCAACAAGAGGGATGCCATAAAACGGAAAAACTTACGCTCCCACACATCGAAAGAAACATTTAAGTGAGAACTCATGAAATGAGAGAATTTTTGCCAACTAAACATCTAACAGAGGATTCGTATATAAAGTACTCAAGAGGTGAAGGGTCAGGAAAACAAACAGCCTAATTAAAAAATTGGTTGTGTATCTGGACAGAGAATTCTCAAAAGAAGACAATATGGCTAAGAAATACCTCAAAAAATTGTTCATCATCCTTGGCAATTAGGTAGATTCAAACCAAAACAAATTTGAGATTTCATTTTACCATAGTCAAAGTGACACAGATCAACAAAACAACTGACAACAGATGCTGGAGAAGATGTGGGGGAAGGGGAGCCCTTATCACTTGGTGGAAATACAAATTAATATGTGTGTGTGTGTGTGTGTGTGTGTTTAAATATTGACAGTGTGCACATTAAGAGCTATAGACTGTCTAATAAAAACCACAGTGCTAGGCACAAGAAACTTTCTTTCTAGGTGTTGGTCAAGAGTTTTCACAGGACTCCCCCAAAATAATAGGCAATTGCTGTTGCTCTTCCTTGCTTTGCAGAGGTTGGAGATAAGTCCTTACTGCTGAAACATTCTTTCTTTACATTTATTTCTGTGGTGCTGGGACTGGAACCCAGGGCCTTGTGAATATTTTAAAAAGGTGCTCTATATATGTCAATTATTTAAGTTTATTTTTTCAAGTATTTTGTCACAGATATGAAAAGCACTATACAAACTCTATCATCCAAAGGTTCCCTATACATTCCTTAAGCTTCTGGCCAAATTCAAATTCAAAATCAAGTAGGTTTTCCAATAGGGAAACAATACATACTTGAGACAAATATACTTTTTAGTATGTGATGTATTTAGGATATAACAAAATTTATGAAAATATCCATTTAGAAATATATTATCTCAGCTGTACCCCTGAAATACACCAAAATCTGCAAATGTAACTTGCCAAAAACTAACAAATTATTGAGGGCCCCAAATATTATTAATTTAGTGCAGTGTAAGTACTTAAAGGAATGGTTTTATTTTGTAACTAGACAAATCCTATTCTCTACTCACATGTAGTGAGTACACCAAAGAAAGGACTGGAAGTTTGATTAAGATTTTGTGATTTTCCTTGCAGAGAAAATATGATTTAATAAAATTTATACCATCAAACATAGACTTTATTAAGTACACCCACAGTCCTATTTTATAAGCAAAAATGACAGTAATTGAATGGCATGCTTTTAAAGGAATTCTACCTAAGTCTAAATCATGTCCCCAACATCTAATGGGTAATCACCACATTCTGTGATGACTTTTACTAAGGTATTTCCTGTATCTCACAGAGTTCAATGCTCTAATGAAGAACATTCCTGAGATAAGTAGAAGTTAGTAATTAAAGTGTATTTTTCTCACCAGTGTGGCTTCAGACCAAAAGGAAGAGACTGGAGATACTCAATCACAGACTTTTGAAGTTTATCCCACCATTCTCAGACCCAAATATTTAAGGAGAAGACACAGTGATCTTGGATATAGAACCTCCAGAATTTTATGAAGAATTCAAACATTCTTGACTCAGGACTGTGGGGTAAGTAGTTGGATAGTGTTCTGAATCTCTAAAGTTGAGAACCCTGTTAATGTGAGTAGACAAACGAACATACAGTCATGTTCAGATCCTAAATCCTGCTGGTGCTGCCTAGGTGAGAGTTGAGACTGGGGTAACACTGAGAGAAACTCCAAACAGTTCTCCCAGGTTTCTAGTCCCTCTTTAACTTCCCCATGGGAACATTCTACTAGGAAGGACTAGTAATAAAGAAACACAATTTGTAGACGCCCTTTGTTCATGTGACAAAGCAGAGTGAAGAGGGGTAGGTGTTTTGTAATTCAGAGATACCAATGAAAACATGCAGACACAGGATTCCATGAGTTGGATTTTTACTCAGTAAAGACAAAGGGACTAGTTCCAATAAAAATAAATCACTGTTGGCCTGAAGAGATGGATGGCTCAGCAGAACCTGTTGACCCTCCAGTGGATGGGAGTTTGATTCCCAGCACCCAACTTGGGCACCTCACAACTGTCTGTAACTCCACTTCTAGGGGATTCAACACTCTCTTATGGCTCCCAAAGGAACAACATACATTGTATACATATATACACACAAATTAGGTTTTGAAATCTTTTTTTATATTTGGAAACAATCTTGTTTTACATATCAATCCCCCGTTCCCTGTCCCTCCTATCCTCCCATGCTTCCCACTGACCCCCCCCCCAACCCACCCTTTAACCACTCCCCAAGGATAGTGAGACCTTCCATGGGGGATCATCAAAGTCTGTCACATCATTTGGAGGAGGGCCTAAGCCCTCCTCCATGTATCTGGGTTGAAATAGTATCCCTCCATAGGGAATGGGCTCCCAAAGTCCATTTGTGCAGTAGGGATAACTATTGGATCCACTGTTAGAGTTTTCATAGATTGCCCAGGTTTCCCAACTGGCACCCACATTCAGAGGGCTTGGTTCTGTCCAATGCTGTTTCCTCAGCTTTACAACTGGGGTCCATGTGCTCTCATTAGGTAGGTCCGCTGTTTCTGTGGGTTTCTCCAGCAAGGTCTTGACTGTTTTGCTCATCCCCCACCCCTCCCTCAAAACAACTGGATTCCAGGAGTATGGCTCAGTGCTTAGCTGTGGGTGTCTGCTTCTGTTTCCATCAGCTACTGGATGAAGGCTCTAGGATGGCAATTAAAGTTGTCATCAATCTCATTATAGGGGAAGGGCATCAAAGTCAACCTCTCCACTACTGCCTAGATTCTTAGTTGGGATCTTCTTTGTGGATCTCTAAACAGTTCCCTAGTGCAATATTTCTCTTTAAACCTATACTGGCTCCCTCTATTAAGGAAAATGTGGTGTATTTGCACAATGGAGTATTGCTCAGTGGAAAAGAAAAAAAATTGAATCTTGAAATTCTCAAGCAAAGGATGGAACTGGAAGAAACCATCCTGAGTGAGGTAACCCAGTCACAGAAAGACAAGCATGGTATGTACTCACTTATATATGGATTTTAGACATAGAGCAAAGGATCACCAGCCTACAATCCACACCTACAGAGAAACTAGGAAACAAGGAGAACCCTAAGAGAGACATACATGGTCTCCCATACGAGGGAAAAGGGACAAGAGCTCCTAAGCAAATTGGGAGCATGGGAGTACAGGGGAGGGAGGAGAAAAAAGGGAGGAGGAGGAGAGCAAGTGAGATCAGGAAGACTGAATCAGGGAAGGAATAGCGAAGAGCAGGTTTTGAAATCTTAAAAGAATAAACCACCAGCATATAGATTAGTGGTAGATAGTTGGCAGACATATTCAAGGCCAAGTGCTCAAACATAAATAAAAACAAAATAACAAAAAAGAAAAAGAACAAAAGAAATAACCTTAGATGTGCATTGTGGGACATGCCTATAAGAGGTTTTGAGACACTCAGGCAGGAGGAACACAAGTTAAAAAAATATCCTAGGTACATAGTCAGAACCTGTCTTAAAAACAAAACAACACAAACAAAATGAAACAAAACTTACTTCAGTCTATCTAGACTTACCATTAGCTTTGCCAAGTCTTGCCTGTAAGAGCCTCTCTTCTTAGCCCATCCCCATCCCCTAGGGGCTTGGCCTTTTTACGTGGACCCATGTTTTCCCCAGTAATCCCCTGCTCATTTTCTTCTAGCCCACCTACCTGCAACCCCACATCAACCACACTTAGATAGGACTCAGAGTGGGCAACAGCAACCAAATGATGAGCTGCCTTCCCAACAAAGACAAGACCAGCTATCTATACTAAAAAACAGTTCAAATGTCAGAACTCCAGAAGCCTAAATCCACTACAAAATCGCAAACTTTAGCAACCAAGACATATGAATCCAGTAACCTTATTGTGTTAGGCCATGAGAAAGGCAATTTAGCTAAAACACAAGAAAAAGGATTTTAAAGTAGAAACTCTGGATATGTTTGAAGACATAAAAGAAGATATAAATAAAAACCTTAATGAAGATTTTGAAAACACAAACATAGGACAATTTAAAAAAATTCAAGAGATGAAAGAAAACAATGTAACGAATAGAATCCATAAGGAATACCCAAACTGAAATGAAAATAGAAAAAGAAAATAGGTTGTCAAATAAAAACTTTAGATTAAGAAACGTGGAAGTGTTTCAGATGTTGGTGACATGATAGAAAAATGGATAGCTCATCAAAGAAAATGTTAAATCTGAAAACAACCCAGACACAAAGCAACCAGGAAATCTGGGACACCATGAAAAGACTGAATCTATGAATGAAAGGTATAAAGGAGGAAGAAGGAGAAACCTAAATCAAAAGCACAGAAAAATATTTTTAACAAAATTATAGAAGAAAACTCTCCCAATCAAAAGAAGAATGACCTATCAATGTACAAGAAGTATACATAATACCAATAGACAACATCAAAAAAACAAAAACTACTATGTTACACTTAATAATCAAAACACTAACAAACAGAACAAAGGATATTAAAATCTGCAAGGGAAAAAGAAAAGGTTACATATAAAAACAGATCAATTACAATAACACCTGACTACTCAGTGGAGACCCTGAAAGCCAAAAAGACCTGGAAAGATGTTCCACCATACCCAAGAAACCACAGATGTTAGTCCAGACCACTCTACCCAGAAAACAGTCAATTGCAATTGATGGAGAAAGAAAAATATTTCATGGTTAAAACAATTAGGCAATTTCTGTCCGTTCATGCAACGCTATAGAAGAAGGCACTAAAAGGAAATCTTTACTCTGAAGATAAATCTAACTATACACAGCAGGACACAAGGAATATATAATACTAGAATGGTTAAGAAAAAAAAGGGGGGGTTGAAAAAACTATACAACTACAATAAAATAATGGAAATTAATAAGCATTGTTCATGAGTATCACCCAATGTTAATGGTCTCAGTACCCAAGGGAAAACACATAAACTCAAATATTGGATGAGAAAACAGAATCCATTTTCTGCTACATCCAAGAAACATACCTCATCAACACAAACATATCACTTTAGGGGAAAACAATGGAAAGGGATATTCCAAGCACATAGACTCAGGAAGTAAGGTGTACTCATTTTAATATCTGTTAAAATCAATTTCAATTAAAATCTAATCAGAAGAAATTGGGAAAGACAGTACATACTCATCAAAGGGAAAAGCCATGAAGAGGAATATAGCAATTCTAAACAATTATGCACCGAATACAAGGGCACCCAAGTTATAAAGGAAACACTACTATAGTAAAAATCAGATATTGATCCCCACACAGTGATAGTGGGTGACCAGTACTCCACACTTTGCCAAAAGACAAATAATTCAGACAAAAACAAGGGAAATATTAGAGTTAATTATTATCTTAAATCAAGAGACCATAACACATCTATAGAACATTCTACCCAAACATTAAAGAATATACTTTTTTTCTTAGAAGCCCATGGATCTTTCTCCAAGATTGCCTGCATATTATGGCACAGAGAAACTCTTAACAGTTATTAAAAAATTGAAATAACACTTCATATTTTGTCTAACCATCATTGATTAAAGCTAGCTATTAAGAACAATAGAAACAGCAGAAAATTTACAACGCATAGAAGCTGAACTGAATAGAACCCACTGAATGAAAATTGGGTCAAGACAGAAATCAATAAAAAATTAAAGATGTTTTAGAATTAAATTAAAGTAAATATAGAAGAAACCAACAAACTCAAACAAATGTGACACATGAGAGCAGTTCTAAGAAGCAAATTTATAGTACTAAGTGCCAACACACACACACACTCACACACAACTGAGGAAAAATACATCATAACAAATTCATCATAATAACTTAGTGACATACTTGAAAGCTCTAGAAAAACAGGAAGAAATAATACCCAAAAAGAATAGAAGTGAAAAAATAATCAAACTCAGGATTAAAATCAATGAAATTGAAACAAACAGCAACAACAAAATACAAAGATTCAATGAAATGAAGGCTTGATTCTTTGAGAAAGTCAACAGGATTCAGAAATCTTTAGCCAAATTAACCAAAAGATAGAGTAGATCAACATTAATAAAATTAATGATGAAAAAGGAACCATTACAATAAACACCAAAGAAATACAAGGAATCAGAAAGATATAATTTCAAAATATACACTCCACCACACTGGAAATAGACTAATTTATTGATGTATAAGACCTAAATACGTTAAACAAACAATTAGTAGACTCATAACTCCTTATTGAAACAGAAGCACTAAAAATCTCCCACTCTCCCCCACCCACCCCACAAAAAAAAAAAAAAAAAAAAAAAAAAATCCCAGGACTGGATGGATTCAGCACTACTCAACAAGACCATTAAAGAACTGCTAATGTCAATACTCATGGACTTATTTCATATGATAAGTGAATGATATCCTCAGCAATAGGGCCTGCCTTACCAGCAGGATGTGGAGAGTAATGTCTAGATTTGGCAGTAGTAATCTGTGATATTTTGAAGGTTCAATGCACCTCCTTTGGCCAATGACACAAGATATAACCCATAAACGTTTTTCTTAATTAGAAAACAAAATAGTAAACTAAGAATTGAAATAAGTTATCTAAATTCCTTCAGATTATGAAGGATAGCAATAGGATGGTTCTTATTTTTATTGAATGATAAAAAGTGTATTATTCTGACCAATTAGAGATTGCTGGAATCTTTTATCAATAGTTTATAATACACACAATAGCATGTCTTCTGCCAAACTCTAATAAAAATTTCTGTGTGGGAAGTTTCATTAAATATTAAAGGATGATTTTCACAAATGCTCTACTCTGTGGTGGTTGATGTTGAAGCTGTTGAAATGGAAGTACTAGTCTCTTTTTTCTCAGATGATGTTTTGGCCTCTTCTTCCTCAAGTGATGGAGTCTCAGGTGATGGTGCAGGGCCCTCAAAAAGCCAAAGAAATAAAAGTAAAAGTAACACCGCAAAAGAAATAGGAAATATCCAATCCCTAGGATTATTTCTCTGTGAATTTTCCTCCTCCTCCTTTCCCCACTCCTCCTCCTCCCACTCCTCCTTGTCCTGGTCCTTGTCCTTGTCCTGGTCCTGGTCCTGGTCCTGGTCCTTGTCCTGGTCCTGGTTTATGTCTGGGTCCTTGTCCTTCTCCTTCTCTCTCTCACTCTCATTATTTTTGCTTCCAGAAGATGGGCCACTGTCAATGCTCCCACCAGTGCCACTTACTAGGCAGTGTGGTGGACTCCAGCCATCATCACAATGGCAGTGATGTTTATTATTGCAGACTCCATTCTTGTTGCAGGTCTCTGCTGAACAATCACTTGCCCAAATTGCGTTATGGACACACTTTCTGTTAATGCATACATGCTCTGGACCACATTTTGTGCCATCTTTTATGTCACCAAGGTCAGGGATAGTCATCCCAAAATGGTAGTCAGTACTCCAGCAGGAGGTGCCATTGAAATGAGTCCAATGCACAGTATAGTGACTCCTCCAAAATGGAAGTTCATTCACTTCTTTACACTGAATTCTTCCACAGAGGATGTCTGAGCTATTACATTTCACATATGTATTGTCCATGATTCCACAGTTACCAAAACGATCACCATAAGTATTGAGTGTCTGGTAGCAACTATCAGATGCTTTTCTGGCATCCTTGCCAAAAACTCTCCGGCACTGTTCATCATGGCTGTTACATCTTTTTTCATAGCAGTACCCACCATCACTGCAAGAGCTCCCATCCTGTAAAAACACATCTTCAGGGCACTCGTGTGAAGTTCCATTGCACCATTCTGGAAGGTCACATTCACTCTCCTGTGTTCTACATATAGTGCCAGATGGCAGGATTTGGCATAAGTTGCTGCAACATAGCCCAGTATCACAGCTAGCATCAGACTTGAGAGTACAGCCAGGCAGACAGCAGGGATTATATTTACATTCCATAGGGGATCCACAGTCACACTCCTCGCCTTCTTCAACCACACTGTTCCCACAGAACTTCATCGGGTAGAAATCTGAAGGGCTGGGCTTATTGTGCATGCAGCTTGTTTTGGCTCTGATTTCCCACAACACAGCATAACTACAGTTGCTGAATTTTCTGGAACCATCTGTAACAGCAGACATCACACATGGTCCCCCTCCACATGTACAAAATATCCCATCATGGGGCATGCCCAAATTATGACCTATCTCATGTGCCACAGTATTTCCAAGGGTAAAGAAATTTTCTCCCAAGAAACTCTCAACTCCACAACTAAATGTCTTATTACATATAGTTCCAACATAGGCTATGCCAAAATAGTTACTAAAATTATAATTTACAAAGAGATGTGCAATATCATGTTGTAGGTAAGAATCAAGGTTTTCTCTCTTCCACTTACAAAATGCTGGCAAGAGAGTATATACATCTTTTACTGGTATGGGGTTTTCCTTATTCCATATTACAAGTCCAAGTAAATCCACATTAATATCTGCTGGAAATAAGTAGAAATTTAGTGCACTCATAATCATGAATACATCTTGCACCACAAGGGAAGTATTACTTCCTCGATGAAGGAATTGGTGATGGTCTATAACCAATGACAGTTCAATATACAGTCTGTGAGTCCACCATGCCTCACTGGCAATTTCCTTTACAGTGGAGTCAGCACTCTCATGAAGTCTCACATGCCCTGAGATTTCTTCATCTTTTAATCCACATCTCATGGAAGGTAAGTGAGTTTTTTCACTGTCTATCTTATAAATCAAATGTTCAAATGTGGAAGAAGGGCTCTTTGGTTTAATTTCATAAGCCGTGTCATTTATCTGTAATGTTCCTTGAAAGCCCCCAAAACAGGTGGTAAGAGCAACCATGGATTCTGGGTTTCCTTCCACAAAACCAAGGTAGTGACAGTCATTCTGGACAAAAGGTCGGTCTTCAAAGAGGTCTCCTTTGTCACTGTAGGTGAACACAGAGAGATGTCTAGATACCAAAAAGTTCTTGGGCTTCATGGATATAATGTGTCGCTGGCCTCCAAAGTGCAGGCTATAGGACTTCCAGCCTGCATGACTCCTATCTCTGCTAGAGACAGTTACCCTCAAGGGTATCACTACTTCTGGAAGACTTTTGAATTCAGCACACCAGGCCAGGGGCCATATAGAAGGAAAGAGCAACACCCCCAACCATACCTGCAGGAGAGATTTCCTCAAATGAATTAGAGCCTCACTCATAGCCACCTTGTCCTATGGAGAGAGCACAGGAGAATGGCACACGGCTCTACTGCCTGGGTACTTCCTTTGTCTTGATCTCATGAGGCACTGACCTTTAATTCTCTTCTGGAACACTGGATCCATCAGTGCAGGAGGACCTTATGAAACAGGAAAAAGATGGCAGACATTAAGAGTGGCTTCATTATGAGTTGGCTAAAGTAGAAGGCTTTATATAACTAGGGCTTAGCATTGGGACCAAAGCATGACTACATATTGTGCATTTGATTTGCTGTTTAATTTTAATGAGGTACTGTTATGAGTAGGTTTTCCCACCAGCCTGGGCCCACATCTGCACCAGCCACAAATAACACACAGAGACACTGTATAAGATACAAAGCTATTTGGCCTGTTACTAGTGTTTCTTATTGGATAGCTGTGTCTTAAATATTAACCCATTTCTATTAATCTAAATATTTCAACGCAGTCATATCTTACGAGAGAGAGGGTTTGGAATTCTGCCCCTTTTCTGTCCTACATGATCTCCTCCTACCTCTGCACGAAACCTCCTTGTCTCCTAGTCCCGCCTATCTTGCTTTCCTATTGGCCAACAGTGCTTTTATTCATTAACCAATAAGAGAAACATATTTACAGAATGACATCTCCCATCATCTTCTCTTTTCTGTCTAAAATAAAAAAAAATGGTTTTAACTTTAACATAGTGAAATATATAACAACACAGTTATCAAATAAGAACCACAGTTAATAATGTTCAGTCCATTAACATTTAGCAAGATTTAAAAAAAAGATTCTATCATCTATCCTATCTTTGTGAGTTTAAAGTCTTAAATGTAACTTATCTTTAATCCTAACTAAGGAAAACTATAACCAAACTGTCTTCAACTCTCTCAAAGACCACAGAACGATAATATATAAACTCTAGAAATGACAAAGACAACTGGCCTGGTCAGTCACTTGAAGTTCTTCTGTAATGTTTCATCTTCAGCCTTTAGGCCATAGTGTGTCTGGCAGACTCCTTAGCAAAGTAGGAAACTTTAAACTGTCTACCTGTATTAGCAGTTTGTCAGTCACTTTTTTCTGTGTCCTGCAGAATGTCTGACAGATTCTTCCGTGAAGCAGGAACTCTGTAGCAATATCCATCTTGTATCAGCAGTCACTTTCCTATGGTTCCTGCATGTCCAGTTTACACAGCATAAAGTCAAATAGTCCAGACAAGAGTAGTATCTTGCCCAAATGTCTAGTTTGGCCATATTGGAAGTAAATTCCATAACAAGTTTCTTCGATGTTCATTTTCCTTTCTGACTCTGGTGCTGTTGCCAGGAGCAGTTGTGCCTCATTGTCAAGAAAAACCCTAAGCCATTTTAGATGCCATATTCTGTACATCTTTGAAAGGTTTGAAGAATGCCTATTCATCTCAAATACACCTCTTTATATCTAGAAATCCTTAACTCTAAGTTTTGACTATTATAGGTAAAACCTAACTAAAGTTTTAACTATTATTGGTAACTATCTAAAATCTGTACTAAATTATACATTTTTAAATGAGCTATATAAACACAATACCTAAACAAGAGGAAAAATATCTATCACAAAATTGACCTTAAATTTGTATTAATAAATGAAAACCCATTCCAAAACAAAGTATATCTATATCATAATCCCCTTTTTACCTTTACAAAGAGATTGGTTGTGGTCATTAGCCATTCATAACCAACCACACATAAATGAAAACAAACATTTATAAACAATATTTGAGAATTTGGGCATCATTCTTTCCAAACTATTTCCTGCTGGTAGGGAGCACTGGCATGGGGGTCCTAAGAACACAGAAATCCTAGCTGTAGTCTGCAAGGCTGCCTTGTCCCAGCTGTTCTGAATGTTGGATCACCTGGGAAGTTGTTTCAGGGGTCTGGCTTGATCAAACCATGTTAGTCTGGAAGGAATCCATAGTATTTTATTTTCTGTGGAAACAAAAATAGAAATCCTTTTCCCCAGTAACCTGTCCATAGACTAAAATTTTGGAGTTAAAGCATTTTTAAAATATATAAATTGGATTAATTCAGCAGCATTTCTTTTAACAGTTGTTGCAATTTCCTCAGCAGTGAAACAATTTAAAGACAATGCAATACCATACAGTATCCAGACTCTCTCTATGCTTTTCATCTTTACGTGGCTTTTTTATTATTATTATTTTATTTTTTATTTATTGAGACAGAGTTTCTCTGTGTAACGTTTGCCTGTCCTGGAATTAAGTCTGTTTACCAGGTTCACTTTGAAATCACAGAGATATGTTTGCCTCTGCCTCCCAAGTGCTGGCATTAAAGGTGTATGCCACCACACCCAGCTACTCTCTCCAGTTGCTCATACACACCATTGAACTCTTAGTCATGCTTTTTAAAAGCCATGTGGTTTTTGCCACTATGCTGAGTCAGGAAACCTCCCTTAAAGGAGTCACGCAAGTCTCTGTTTGTCTCTAGCAAAACAAAGTCCAATGGAGAAAAAAATGTTGCTACCAAAAAGCCTTGCTTGTCTCTGTTCTTTTGTTTCTAAAGCCTGTTTTTAAGCTTTTATCAAGTTTTAAGTGAAAGTTCTAAGGTCTACATTGTGGTGCCATTATGTTATGAGTAGGTTTTCTGGCCGGCCTGGGCCCATATCTGCGCCAGCCCCAAATACCATACAGAAATGCTGTATTAGATATAAAGCTGTTGGCCAGTTATTTTTGTTTCTTATTGGCTAGCTCTGTCTTAAATATTAATCCATTTCTATTAATCAAGTATTTCCACATGGTCTTAGCTTACAGAGAGAAGGTCCGGAATTCTGATCTCTTTCCATCCTACATGTTGAATCTCCTCCTACCTCTCCCCAAAACCTCCTTGTCTCGTAGTCTTGCCTATCTTACTTTTCTATTGGCCAACAGTGCTTTATTCATTAACCAATACGAGAAACATATTTACAGAATGACATCTCCCATTAAGGTACAGTCATACTCTGGGTGTTCAAAAGGATCACAGCTGGTCACAGGTGGATAATCTCAGCCATTAATATATTGTTCACTAAATATATGCACATTTGAGACAATATTTACATTAATATTTAAAACAAACTTATATTGGTACAAATGTGAGATAACCACTTGCTTTGATGAGATAATTTTGATTTATACATAGTCAATCAAAAAATATCAGTGGTTTCAATTTATATGATAAGTTGTACATAGTTCTTAGCAGACTTGTAAAGGAATACCTTACCATGTTAAGTGTATGGTTCTAAAAATGCACCCCCATGTAACAAATCATTGATTGTTCTGTCTTATACCAGTTCTAATTGTGGAGTCAAAGATTAGAATCTTCTACAATGGATATATATGTTCTGGTGATGAATCAATAAACAATAGTATAATCAAATTAGGCATGCTGACTTGATGAATGTTTTTCAAACGCATTTATATTTGACTATATTTATAAAAGGAGTACATTTTTATTGAAAATAGTTTCTTTTCTCATATAACATATCCTGATGATAGTTTCCCCATCCCTCTATTCCTCTCAGTTCCTCTCCTCTGGATCCATTCCCTTTCTGTCTTTCATTAGAAAAGAAGAGGCTTCTAAGATACAACAACCAAACATAACAAAGTAAAATGTAATAAGAGGAAGGGAATACTTTCACATTGAAGTTGGATACAGTAACCCAAAAAAGAGGAAAAGAGTTCTAAGAGCAGAGGAAAGAGTCAGAGACCCACTCATTCTCACAGTCAGAAGTCCTGTAAAAGTACTAAGCTAATGGCTATAATATTTACTCAAAGGACCTGGTGCAGACCTGTGTAGGCCCTCTGCTTGCTGATTCAGTCTCTGAACTCATTTTTGCCTTGCTTAGTTGATTAGAGGGGCATGTTCCCCTGGTGTCCTCCATCTCCTCTGGCTCTTACAATCTTACTGTGTCCTCTTCTGCAGGATACCCTGATCTCTGAGCAAAGGGATTTGATGGAGACCTCCAATTAAGACACTTTCTTACAATAATGTCTGGCTCTTAGTTTGTATATCTTTGTTCCCATCTGCTAAAACAGGAAGCTTCTCTGATGATGACTGGACAAGGCACTGATCTACGAGCATAGCAGAATATCATTAGGAGTCAGGTTTTTGTTTTATTTTCAATGGATCAGTCAAATTGGGTTTATTCTGGGTCTCTGAGCTATCTGGTCTATACTTTCTGGTTACCCAAGCAGTTGTGGGTATGGGATCTTCGTTGTGGAGTAGGCCTTAAGTGAAATCAGACATTTGGTGGCTGTTTCCTCAAGTTCTGTGCCACCATTGCCCTAGCATATTTTGCATGCAGGACAGAGGTTTGGGTCTGTGTTGGTGTTCACATTTCTCTTTAGGTAGCCTGCAGAGTAGCTTCTTGAACCAAAGAAACTAGAAGATAGGGGTGAAGTCTCCATGTAGGCAATAGCTTGACTTCTCCATGTTCAATGAGTTGTGTGGATGCTGTTCTCAGCAATGTGACCCCACTGTGAGTTTACAGAGAAAACCCTTGTCTTAGTATCAGCCTGTGTCATTTAGGGATTTCCGTGGGACCACTTTGGCCAATAACTCAATTGAATGTCACCCAGTTCCTCCAACAGAAGTCTTGTCTGGCTATAAGAGATGGCAAACTGAGACTCCATTTCCGCCATTACTAGGAGTCCTCATTAGGCTCACCTTCATAGATTCCAGGAAATTTTCACTGCACTAGGATTCCACACCACCCCAAAGGACCCTCCCCCAATTGCAAGAATCTCTCTTCCTTCACCTCTCCCACACACACATGTTTCCATATTCTATTTCCCCTTCCTAGGGAGATCCATTCATCTCCCCACCCCCTTGAGTCATCCTGATTACCTAACCTGGGTCTGTGGATTGTAGTTTGATTATCATGTACTTAAAAGATAATATCCATATATAAGTTAGTACAGACCATAGCTTTCTTTCTATGTCTGGGTTACTTGACTCAGAATAATTTTTTTCTAGTTGCATCAAATTGCCTGCACATTTTATGATGTTATTATTTTTAATAGCTGAGTAATACCCCAATGCATAAATGTACCACATCTAGTGTATCCACTCTTCTGTTTTGGGACATCTAGGTTTCTGGCCATTATGAATAAAGCTACAATGAACATGGTAGAATAAGTGTCCTTGTGATAAGATGAAGTGTCCTTTGGGTATATTCCCATGAGTTATATAGCTGGGTATTGAGGTAGAACAATTCCCAGTTTTCTGAGAAATCATCATATTGATTTTCATAGTGGCTATACAAGTTCACACTCTCAATAGAAATGGAGAAGGTTTCCCCTTGCTCCACATCCTCACCTGCATGAGCTGTCATTTGTGTTTTTGGTTGACAAGTATGAGATAGAATCTCAAAGTAGTTTTGATTTGCATTTTCCTGATGGCTAAGGATGTTGAACATTTCTTTATATGTTTCTGAGCCATTTGAGTTACCTCTATTCAATTCTCTGTTTGGATATGTACTCCATTTATTAATTGGACTTTTGGGGCATTTTATATCTGGTTTCTAGAATTATTTATATGTTTTTGATGTTAGTCCTTTATATGAATTTGGTAAAAATCTTTTCCCATTCTGTAGGCTGCTGTTTGTTCAAAAGGATGGTGTCCTTTGCCTTATAAAACATTTCTATTTTCCTGAGGTCCCATTTATTGTTTATCTTAGTGCCTGCACTGTCAATGAGCTTCTCAGAAAGTTGTGGTCTGTGCCAATGCATTCAAGGTTATTCCCTGACTTTCTTTCCTATCAGGTTCAGTGTATCTCATTTTATACTGAGGTCTTTGATCTACTTAAACTTGAATTTTGTGCAGGGTAATAAATATGGATCTCTTAGTGTTCTTCTAACATACAGACATCCAGTTTGACCACCACCAGTTGTTGCAGATACTGCCTTTTTTCTAGTCTCTATTTCTGTGTTCTTTAACAAAAATAAGGTGTCCACAGGTGTTTGGATTTATGTCTGGATCTTCCATTCAATTCCATTTTCAACCTGTCTGCTTTTATGTCGATACCTTGCAGTTTTTATTACTCTACCTCTGCCATATAGCTTGAAACTGGGAATGGGAAGGCCTTCAGCAGTTTATTGTTCAGGATTGTTTTAGCTATTTTGGGTTTTTGTTATTGTTGTTTTTCCATATAAAATTGAGAATTCTCCTGTCAACATCTGTAAAGAGTTATGTTGGCAGCTCCCCCCATCCCAGGTCCCTAGACCTAGGGCAGGAAGAATTTCACCCATGAGCCTCTGGCACTGGATCATCAAGTACCATTATGGTTAATGAATACAGAATGGCCAAATGTGAGAGAGGGGGAAAGGCAGCACAATTCGGAGAATGGGCAGATATGAAGAGGCAAAAGTGGTGAGGAACAGGGCCATGGCAATGTCTGGGCCTTGGCTGCTGCCAAGAGCCATGACTTGGTTCATGGCCCTGATGCAGGTGTGGGATTTTGTGTTGGTGTGGGTGGCTCCTGCTACCATCAAGAGCCCTGTGAACTACCAGAATCTGGGCCACTACCTGTGATCAGGTTGATGTCCAAGAGATGCAGCCCCACAGGGGCCATGCTGATCCAGAACTTCTATGCTGTCAACTAAGACTAAGGTGACATATAGTCAAGACAATTAGAGGGGGGCATGTCTGGGTTCATGGCCCTACTGCATCTAGGCTCTGAGTTGACATCCTTGGCTCCTGTTGCCATTGAGGGCCATGAAGAAGTCCATGGTCTGGGTCAACACCGGATGACATGTTGGTCTTAGCAGGTCAAGCTGACTCTGGGGTAATATATATCTAGGTGGTTCCTGCTGCCCTGGTTTCATTGGGTCCCTAACTTCGTCCATGAGCCATGTCTGCAACTGGAGATGGTCTGGGTCAATGTCTGTGGCTCCTGTTACTATCAAAATTAAGTGGATATCTAGGGTCAGGGATGCCACCTGGAGAAATGTTGGTGTTTGGAGGCAGAATTCTGTGCTGAAACCATCTGACCCAGGGCTTTTTGTTTGTTTGTTTGATTTAGAGACTTAATGACTGCTTCTATTTCACTAGGTTTTTAAATTTATTTAAATTGTTTATCTGATCTTGATGTAACTTTGGCAAGTGGTACCCATACATAAAATTATCCATTTCTTTTAGATTCTCCAATTTGGTGGAGTACAGAGGTTTTCAGTATGTCTTTTTTTTTTTTTTTTTTTTTTTTGGTGTCCATTTTATGTCCTTTCCATTTTTGATTTTGGGTACTCTCCATATTTTACTTTATTTGGATAAGGGTTTAGTCTATCTTGTTGATTTTCTTAAAGAATCAACTCTTTGTTTCATTGACTCTTTATACAACTCTCTTAGTTTCTATTTTATTGATTTCAGCCCGAAGTCTGATTATTTCATGCTATCTACTACTTTTGGTGTGCTTGCTTTTTTTGTCCTAGAGATTTAATTGCTAGTATGAGAACTCTCAGATTTCTTTTTTTGGCTATGAACATCCCTCTTACCTCCTCTTTCATTGTGTCCCATAAGTGTGGGTATGGTATGTATTCATTGGCATTGAATTGTGGAAAGTCTTTAATTTCTTTATTTTGCCTTGACACAATTTTCATTTGGTGGAGAGTTGTTAAATTTCCCTGAATTTGTAAACTTTCTGTTGTTTCTGATGTTGTTCATATTCTGTTTGAAAATTATCATTGTTTTTAAAATTGTTATTATTGAAGTTTCATCATAGTTTTAAACAGAAAAACTAAAATTTCATTTAATACTTCTTAAGCTCAAGGTAGGATATTTTTAAGGTCTTTGGTATGTCATTGCATCAGTGACAGATTTCTTTTAGGAAGAACTTACTAAAGTAATGGGTGTCTTCTATGCCTGGGGAAAGTAGCCAAATAGAATAAAAGGAGGCTTCCTTTATAAAAATAACCAGAACCCCACATAAGAAAGCAAAGTCAGTAAAAGGAATCTTTGAGGATACTGTGTAAAAACTATAAGGAAAACTCTGACATGTTGATTCTCTATTTACACACACACACACACACACACACACACACACGCACGCACACACACATACATTTATATATATTTATATATATAAAACACACATATATATATACACACACATATAAGTATGTGTGTGTGTTTGTGTATTTTTGGTTATGATCATAGAGTTTATATACTTTGTGATAGAAAGGAAGATGATTTGCCAATAATATTGTTGATAAACTTAACCCATACAAAACTGTCAGAATTCATTACTAAGACCTCATTTTGCAAATAGGTCACTGGCAAACAAACTTGAAAGTTGAGCCAGTTTTCTCACATCTTAAATTATTTTAAATGGTAACTAAAGAGGCCACAGGTCCTGAAGGACTGTCACATTTCCAACCAAAAGAATATGGAGACATAGCTCAGTGGATACAAGGGTTTGAGGTCAAGCCTGACAACCTGCTTTGGTAGAGAGAACCAATTCTTCCAAGTTGCACTCTGACTTCACATACACCCACATCCACCTTAACTAAGCACCCACATGATCATAAACACATATGCACAATGATGATGATGTCCATACATTTGAAAGAGCCTGCAGTGCCACATTAGTATAGAACCTTAAACACTGTCTCCAGCATCTCCTATTCCCAATTTCATCAAGCTCATCAGTCCATGTATCTCAGTCGTCATCTAGCCCTCACCATCATTTATGGTCTAATTCAACATTTCAACATTAAAAACAATACATCATCCAAATAAAGAGAGGGGAATAAGTAATGATAGGAGTCACTAGTCCTTGCCAAGATCTGAACAACTGAAAAAGAATCAAGGTGTGTGTTTGTTTGCAGGTATGTTTATAAACTTCTGTCCTTCAGACCTAATCTCTTGAGTGACTTACCAGGAGATGTAGTGATGATTTCTTGGTGTGGTCCTATTCATTACTCATCTGTAAGGACTGTTTTATAAGCAAAAGTTCTACTTGAGAACTCATATGACAAAGACAACAGAAATTATTCCTTCCTTTGTCTCTTATTGCTTAGCAACAAGAGCCTTTTATATTATAGGACTTGGAAGTTGGCCTTCCCACTTTCTCCACCATCTCAACCAAACTGTATGACTACTTCCCCCTCAGTGTGGGTAAATCTGGCTTCCTTCCCCACATTTATTGTGCTCTAGTAGCTTTCCAGTATGACAAGATCTTTCTGTTCTCCCAATATACACACAACATAAACATCTTACCTTCTGAAACTCTTCTTATACCGCTATCCCTGTCCCAGGTTACTTCCTCAATATTTAGCCATATTATAGAGTACTAGAAGCACTTTAGGTTCCAGAGAAAAATTCAAACCCATTTTCAAATTTTTCTAAGTAATTCAGTCATAAATAATCATTTGTACCTTTCTTCGGGTCATTGAATGATTAAGAGACATTTTCCATCTGCATGTAAATATGCCTTATCCATTATGCTAAGTTTTAGCCTATCAAAATAGGCCAAAATGTATAGAAATTAAACAATATGCTCTTGAATAACTAATGGAGTCAATAAGATCAAATAGAAACAAATAAATCAGGACCCAACCAAAAATAAAAACAAGATATTCCAAAACTTATGGGATTCAAGGAAAATCACACTAAAGATGTTGTGAACAGCAACAGTCAACACAGGTGTAAAGATAAGGATCAGTTTTACCTAGGCTAGAGGGATGATGGTGTGGTGCATTAAAGTGCCTCCTGCAGCCTCACTGGGGATTGGTGAAACCATCAGGAAGTTCATCCCTGGAGATGTTATCAAGTACTTCTTTAGCAGTATTCTTGGTAGATTCCCAAGAGTGCTGCCTTTTTTTTTTCTTTTTTGAGGAACATCCTCCATCCAAAATGATTTTCATAATGGATATATCAGTTTACACTTCCATCACCAAAGAACAAAATTTTTCCTTTGTTTTATCCTTACCTGCCTTTTCTGTCATTGATTTTCTTGATGCTTGATGGCAGCCTGGATGATTCATCCCTCTTGCCTTCTGTCTTTCTACTGTCCTGAGTGTGTTGTAGTGTGGTAGTAGTGGTAGTCATTGAGGTGTGTGTGTGTGTGTGTGTGTGTGTGTGTGTGTGTGTGTGTGTGTGTGTATGTGTGTGTGTGTGTGTGTGTGATAGTGGTATATACCTGTAATCTCAGAACTGGGAGTAGATGTAGAGGTAGGTGAACTCCTTAAGCTCACTGGTTAGCCAGGCTAATTGAACTGATGAGCTCCAGATCCACTGAGAAAGCCTGTCACAAAAAAAACAAAAAAAAAAAAAAAAAAAAAAAACATCATGAGTAGATGAGTGATCAAGGAATGTATCAAACATGAAGTTATGGCTTCCCCACATTCATGGATGAACACAATGCACACCCACATACACATGTTCACACACTCACAGATACAAATAGATATACTAGATAAATGCACACACACACATTCAAGTATTAAAAAATTAATAAAACAATAAGGAAACAACTAATCCAGTTTTTAAAAATGAACTAAGTAGAGTTATCAAAGGAAAAAAATACAAGCAGCCAATAACTACTCTAGGCTGCTTTTTAGTCCTATTAAGGTGTCTTTTGCCTTACAGAAGCTTTTAATTTTCAAAAGGTCCCATTTGTTAATTGCTGGTATTAATGCCTGCATTATCAATGTTCTGTTCAGATTTGTTTCCTGTGCTATTCACCACTTTCTCTGCTATCATGATCAGTATATCTATATTTGTGTTGGAGTCTTTGATCCACTTGGACATGAGTTTTGTGCAAGGTGTTAGATATGGACCAATTTGCATTCTTCTATTGGCAGACATCCACTTAGAACAGCATCAATTGTTGAAGATGTTTTTTATTTTCATTGTGTATTTTTGGCTTCTTTGTCAAAAAATAATTGTCCATAGGTGTGTTGATTTATGGCTAGATCTTTGATTTAATTCCATTGACCAATGGTTTGTTTTTATAACAATACCATGTAGTTTTTATTACTATAGCTCTGTAGTACAGATTGAAATCAGGGGTGTTGATACTTCTAGAAATTCTTATTGTACAGGGTTATATAAGCTATCCTGAATTTTTTTTTACATATGAAGTTGAGTATTGTCCTTGCAAGTTCTGTAAATAATTATGTTGAATTTTTTATGGAGACTGCATTGAATCTGTAGATTTCTTTTGGTACGGCAACCAGTTTTAATATGCTAATCCTACTGATCCATGAGTATGGGAGATCTTTACTTCTTTTGATATTGTCTTCAAGTTCTTTTTTAAGAAACTGGAAGTTTTTGTTTTATAAGTCTTTCACTTGCTTGGTTAAAGTTACCCCCAAGATATTTTATATTAGTTGTGGCTATTATGACAGGTGTTCTTTCCCTGATTTCTTTCTTAGTCTATTTGCCTATTGTATATAGGAGGGCTACTGATTCTTTTGAGTTAAATTTGTATTCAACCACTTCACTAAAGGTGTTTATCAGCTGTAGAAGTTCCCTGGTAGAACTTTTGGGG